GTGCTAAATTATTTGTTTATCTTTTTTGCCTTGGGTTTTTAAGAAACTTAAGAGAGTTTAATAATTAATCTTATATAATGAATTCATTATAATTAATTACGTGAAATAGAAATATCTTTAACTCATTTGTACAATTTGGTGTAAATACGTGTGTAATACGAAAGTATGTTTCTGAAAGCTGTAATTATATCTCATTTCATGTTTGATATGTCAGAAAAAGTTGAATTTAATTAAAATTAATAACAACATTTCAAACTGCTGAGCTATTGAATTTGTGCAATTAAATTTGCTATAACAAAATCAATTTGAAGACGTCATCGAATTGCTGTTCGTATTTGAAATGCAATATCCGCCCTACTCTTATGGCTTTTAATTATATAAAAACATAAAAAAATCAAACAAAACGAACAAAACAAACAAAAGAAAAAAATAATATTTAAATTAAAACAAAACGGATCACATAAACAAATGAAATAGCGTATATATGAATGTGTCAGTCGAAGTGTATTTTTGTATTCAATTTTATAATGAAAAAAAATGACACCTCATTCAAGTTAATTAAAATAAAGCATACTTATAGGCGCACGCTTTTTTATTGTGTCGATGCTTTTTCTCTTATCAAATATTGAGGACTATGTAATGATTATGTGTGCGTTTTAAGTTTTAATGTTTTTTGTTTACAATTTAATAAATATTCTTAAACAGAGACACATAAATATATAAGACCATAATATATGTACTCGGTTAACATTCAAACGGTACAAGTACAATTGAAATACGTGAACTCTATTTATGACTTCAAAGGAAAATATCCCAGCATACAATATTTTAAAATGGCAATCAACACCTGTGTGTGAGATAAGTCCATCTCTGATTCAAAATGGTTTTATTTTCAAACTACTGACAAACTCAGTTATTTCGATCTTGTAACTGCAGCACCTCCACTTAATTGTGCATAAGAACTTGGTTTATGAGTCCATTGACAACATAGTGACAAGTTTTAAGCCAATACTGCCTGAATGTTCACGTACCAGGATGGCATACACATGTGAGACATTCAGATTATACAAGTTAGTTGATCCGATGTGCCAGAACCATTAAATGTATTGAAAGTAACCTGAGTGCAACATTTGGCTGAGTGGCTGAGTTGAGTTTCTAATATGAAATATGAATATCTAATATGATTTTATGTTTCTGCGAAGTATTAAATCAATGAATATAAAACAGAGATATAGGTTTATATCTGTCCCCATCGTTGGTAGCCTAAAATAATTACCTAATTAAAAATAAATTATTATTCCATTTCTTTAATAATTGCCCATTTCCAATTAGCTTTTTTTAAATTTGTCTTTATGGTAAAATTTTTTTTGTTTTTGTTTACTGCATTTAATTCAGTTTTAATATATAATTCGGCAGCTACATTGCAGACAAATGTATATGTAAAAAAATTTAAATGTTCGAAATCATGTTTTTCAAAAACCATTCATTACCAATGTAAGAGACAGCAAAGAAAGCAACAGTTTTACCATAATATGAAGTTTTTTAAATATTTAAAATGATTGCTCTTACTTAGAGTTTTTCTAAGGCAAACTCTCTAATTTTAGCTTCATACTTTAACTTACGATACTACAGCGATTAGCACAACTTTATCACCTCATAAGTTAAGGTGTACCATTGTTACTTGTTAGTGTTAATACCGGGGTATTGCATGCCACTGGCAGTCGATGGTTTTTACTTATGGCACCTCGCCAGCACTGAAATCTGGTTCCATGACTATGGAATTCGGGTTCCATTTAACAACTTTGTATTAAGTTGTCATACCACTTTGCTAACTATGTAAAATCAATGAGACTCAATATCCACCCTATATTATAATTTTCCATTTTACAATGGTGAAGTTACGCTATTAGCACTATTACTATTGTAAAGACACAGGCAGTGTTTAAGACCTTGGCAATGTTCACAACTCTTAAATTCATCACTAATTATTTGTTCACATACATTTTTTGGTTCATGGTGTGCTTGCTCTGTGAAAGCATTAGAAGGTATGTAATTATTGGTGGTTTCTAGTGCCTTTTGGTTACGCGGATGGATATGAATGCTGAAAACTTCTGTCTGATTATCATATATATGATTATCGAATTCGTCAAAATACTCTAGATTGTGTTCTGCAGTCTGTTTAAAACCGTTGCAATTATTGTAGTCAAGACATTTTTTGGGCCTCGCAGTATTGTGACTTAACTTTTGGTTCTTTGATGGAGTCTCATCTGTACAGTATTTACTGCTTATAGCAGTAGCTTGAAAATTGTTTGCCACTTGCAAATATTGTTGGTGATCGGTACTATTAAGGCTTCCAAATTTTTGATGAGATTCTAAATCGTTGTTATTATGTGTAATATTTTTGATGGCTTTGCAGTATCTGGAATTATCACAATCACAACCGCAATCACGAACATTATCATTATCGCTTACATATTTTAAGGGGCTCTGATTACATTTATTTGCACTGATGCTACGATATCTCGAAATGATACAGTGAGGAATAGTTTCCTTATTGCTTCAATGGTGAAGTCACAATTTCACCAGGTATGAAAAATTTTTGTGGTGCTCATTATTAAACTCACATAATGAGATTTACTGTTCACAGTTTGGACTTAATTTATTCTACATAATTTGATTGTAAATAGAGATTGAAAAATATATTTATAAGGTTTAGTTACATATTCTTGGAATCAATTTGCTAATGTTAACTGGGCTTCATAGAACGAGTGTACGTCACTATGCGTTGGCTACGTCCTATGCGTTGTATCATTAATTATTGATAAGTAATTTTTTTTTTAACTGAAGCACCTGAAAGTTCGCGAGTGCTTTTGTGTTTTGTCGTTCGAGCTGTTGTTGTTGCTGTTGTTGTTGTAGTTAAGCTGGAAAATGTTATTTTGTATGGCGTATTAGCATACACGAGTATACACACACACACACACACGTATGTGCGCTTTAATACGCACTCATTCAGTATGCATGCATAAATAAATATGTTTTGTACACAGATGCGTTCATATCATAATTTTCCAGTCATTAATTAATGGGCGTCAGTGTGTTTTACTCTTTCACCTTTTTTGTATCGTTTTATTTTGTTTTTGTTAATATTCGTTATTTGTTGTTGTTATTGTTATTGCCCCATTGATAATGAAAATGACCACTTCTCATTTAGTAGCCCAAATTAAAAATGTTTTAATGCATATTTTAAGCATAAATAAATGAGGTAAAACTCTTCGTTTCGTTCCGTTCCGTTTAGTGTGCTTGTGTGTATCAGTGTGTATCAGAGTGTGTGTGTATGTATGTACGTATGCGAGTGCTTGCAAGTGTTTGTTGAATTGTGTGCTTAATTTTTAATAAATGTATTATGCTGATGAAAAGCACTTTTACTGTTATTACCATTATTGCTACTGTTGTTGTTGTTGTTGTTGTTGTTGTTTTATGTTGTTGTAATTGTTATTATTGTAGCGAATACTCATTATAATTATTGTTGTTATTGTTGTTGTTGTTGCTGTTGTTGTGATTTCAATTATTTATTTATTATGTCCTTTTTATGTACACACATTTCGTTGTTTTTATTTCTGCTTAAAGCTAAGTGTTTTTTTTTTGTTTTTTCTGTCCTAAATATGCCCAGCAAAGCCAGAAATAATAATAATATGGTTAAGCAACAAGCAACAACAATGAAACAAAACTAAAAACATACAAACAAAAAACAAAAAATAGCAAAAAAAGAAAAATGCAATAAATGCATGAGCAATTAATTTAATTAATACATTCATAATTAAAAACTTATTTTCGCTGTTAATAAAAATGCAATAAATTGTTGTTGTTGTTGTCGGCAAACTTCTTTCCATTGTTATAGTAGTACAATGCATATAATAGTCTTTGTAGTTGTTGTTATTGTTATTATTATTATTGTTGTTGTTGTTGTTACTTGTGAAATACGCCATTTATCATAAAGTACTCACATTCACATGATAAGCACTTGTAAGTTTGCCTGATAATGGCGTGAAGTTACTCACCGTCCATAAATGATATTTAATCAATTTGTTTTTTTTTTTGTTTTTTTTTTCGTTTTTTATGTGCTTGAATTTTAAGTATAATTTAATCAATTTTTTATATTCAGTTTTAATGTTAAAAGTAATAAATATGTATATCTGATATGACTTTGCCATATTTTTCTGAGAAAACTTACAGAAGTGTGTATGGCACAACAACTGGCTAGATATTTGTCTTATTTATATTGATAAAATGACTAACTACTTACTTACTTAAATAGTCTTAACAACCCGTTATTGGACTTCGATCTGATCCAAGACGTCTCTTGTCTCTGCTGTGATTATTGCGTTCTTCCTTCAACTGCGGCTTCAAATACCTTCTTTACTAGAACATCATCATCCATTCTTACGACATGACCGAGCCAGCGAAACCACTGAATGTTAATTCGCGGAACAGTATCAGAGTCGGTAGTCGTTGATTCGACGACTAAACATTTTGCGAATAACTTTTCTCTCAAAAACTCTCAATGTTGCTTCATCATTCTGTGGCAGAGTCTATGTGCTATACTAAAGTAGATGTCGAACGAGCGACCTAAATAAGGAAACTACGGAGTTTAAAATTAATTAAACATTTTTACAGATAATTCTTTTAGCTCTAAAACTTTTAATTACATTCAATATCTTTTAAATCAATTAAATCTACTACAATGCTTTCTTTTTTCAACAGTCTGGCTAACTCCAGACGCTCTCTCTAAAGAGCATTTAAAGCTTTTAATATTTTTTACTTTCTTAAATGGTAACACAATAGGTCAATAAGCCTAAGAGGATCTTTAGAATTGCAGGTAAAAGCTAACTCAACGTAATCTAACCTACCATGACTGTTCTCATCCTCTTACAACTGAATATACATTCGTAAAACCGTCGAATTCTTTGGGATTTTTTAAATTAGAAAACCAAAATTTGTATTGTGAAACTAAAATTTTTATTTCAAGTTGATTCTGTGAGCAATACAAAGTTCTGAACTTAGGAAATTTAGTTTAATTAATGATTCTCTCCACCGCTTATATACATTTTTCTTAATACAAATACTTTAGTTTTCTTTTTCTTGGTTCAGCATTTACTGCCTTTGATGGTCTTCTTTTCAGACGATCTGGCCAAAATAGTTATATTGTTCCTAATACTTGGTTTGAGAGGAGGGCCTAACATAGCTCTAAGTATACTCCTTGGGTTTCTGTGTAATTTGTGCTGCTTCTCTTTTGCAATTTTATTTATTAAGAGCTTTGCATAGTTAGCATAGACATTTTGTTCACTTTCACTCGGTATGTCAACCCAATTATTATCGATCTCTTCACTTTTCGTCAGACCACATGATTGGTCCACTTTCACATGTTCGTCTATAATTATTTCTTTATTTGTACCATCCTTAAAGATTCGTTTTTCTTTTTTAAAACTATGAACGTTTTCTATATATTCCATTTTATGTCTAATTTCACTAGATTTTTCATTAGATTGTTGCATTTGCTTACCGACTTCACTTATGCATGGTCTTTTAGATATTTCTTTCGAAACTATTATATCGTAACAGTCTGATGAACCCGCATTGGAACTTTCAGATTTACTAGGAGCATTTTCAATTTCTAGGCTCAGACAAAGTCTGGATGTTTCATCATCCTCAGAATCTAGTGGTATATTACTTTTTTCGTTTTTGTCACTATGGGCTGTGGAAACGGCTTGTTGCTCAAGCAAAATGTCATTTGCATTACAAGTTTCTTTACAAGTGGTTTTCTCAAAGTACTTAAGTCCATTTGCACAATAAAACTTTGTTTGACTTTTAGCTTTATCTTTACAACACCCTGTGGCATTATCGAGCCATGTTTGAAATGGTATTCCTTTAGAGGTACTTGGTAGCATATCAATGTCAATTTGTATTATGCTGTTGCTTTCATTGTCGTCTGATCTCTGCTCTTGCTCATGTTGTTCTCGTAGTCTGCTGTTAGCACTATTACTATCGTAAAGATTACTGGGCGGACTCCAATTCAGGCAGTGTCTAAGACCTTGGCAATGTTTACAGCTCTTAAATTCATTACTATTTATTTGTTCACATACATTTTTTGGTTCATGGTGTGCTTGCTCTGTGAAAGCATTAGAAGGTATGTAATTATTGGTGGTTTCTAGTGCCTTTTGGTTACGCGGATGGATATGAATGCTGAAAACTTCTGTTTGGTTATCATATATATGATTATCGAATTCGTCAAAATACTCTAGATTGTGTTCTGCAGTCTTTTTATAACCGTTGCAATTATCGTACTCAAGACATTTCCTGGGCCTCGCAGTATTGTGATTTAACTTTTGGTTCTTTGATGGAGTCTCATCTGTACAGTATTTACTGCTTATAGCAGTAGCTTGAAAATTGTTTGCCACTTGCAAATATTGTTGGTGATCGGTACTATTAAGGCTTCCAAATGTTTGATGAGATTCTAAATCGTTGTTATTATGTGTAATATTTTTGATGACTTTGCAGTATCTAGAATTGTCACAATCACAACCGCAATCACGAACATTATCATTATCGCTTTCATATTTTAAGGGGATCTGATTATAATTATTTGCATTGATGCTACGATATCTGGATTTGATACAGTCACAAATAGTGTCGTTACTGCTAATATATCTTGAATTATCATACCCACAAGCAGCGTTTTCAAAACCGTTACGTTTTGATTTCTCATTTTTATGTGAAAAATTGTTGCAATTGTACCGACAGTTCGATTTATCACGGCATCTGGAACAACAATGATCACAAGTAACCAACCTTTCACATTCATTAATATATTTGCTGGTATCACGATTTTGGTTAACACTACTTTGTGCATATCTGTGTCTACTGTTAGACCTCGAACGCCTTCTATATCTCATGTTAGTACCACCCTCGGTATTAGGTTCTTCGTCAAAACTATCATTTTTATAGTTCTCACGATATTGGTGATTTGTGTCATTAATGTGTTGGCCTACATCGTTCGCATAGTCTTTAAACGTTTCGCCGTAAATAAATCCTGCTTCTTTTTGATTTTGGTTTTTAGAATATTTGTAAGAGCCTTCATTTTTTGGGCCGTTGTATTTATTATGTGTGACCGAATCTTCAAAATTTTTGTATGGATTATTGCGTAGAACAGGGATATTTTTAGTGTCTACAAAGTTTACACAATTTTTGTAATTGTTTTGATTCTCAGGAAGATAAATTTTGGTGTTTCTAAAATTTTTACAAATAGTACGAGTGTCGCATCCACCGGAATTTCTGAGAGTCTGATAACTATTTGCGCTATTAGATATCTGTTCATTGTTGAACTTTATGTATTTACCCATATTATCTTGAAATTTCTGTGGATTTGATGAATTAAGGTTTTCATAGTTTTTCAAGTCTTCTGAAAGTTTACTTGCTTTTTTTTCTAACCTTTTATCTGCTCGTTGATTTTCGGATCTTGTATACCTCTTCTTGCGACTTTTTGACCTACTACGACTATTATAGTCATCTTTACTCTGTAGTCTTTTTGAACATTTTGGTAACTGGTATCCACTGCAATCGTCGACGTCAGTTGCACTATTATCATATTCGTACATAGCATGTGGTCTATTCATATCCTTCTTGTGATAGTTGCAACAATTTCCAGTTGCATGATTATTTTTATTAATATAGAACCGGGTATTCGGATCGTCAGTGTCATTAGTGCGACTTTGTTCAGTATCTTGTTGCTGGTGTTGTGTGAAACTGCAATCATCGCAAGTATTACGAAACATTCTTCCATCACAATATTGAAGTCCGCCTTGATTTCCACGGAATCTTTGGTTCTCGGTTTCAACTGGCTTTGACTCATTACAACGATTGTTTTTGTTAAGCCATATGCAAACTTGTGTATCTATATTATCGTCGTTAGCCGAGCTATGTTCCCAAGTTGAGCTGCTTCGAGTTGTGACACTGCTATGAGTTCCAGAACAATTTGTATTTGAGATCACCGCTGTTATTTGTGTAAGAGAGCTTTCACACTGTTTCATATCAGTCAATATCTCATTATAATTAGTGATATCACTACTTTTTACATAAACGGTGTCCGATCTCTTGTTTGATTTTATGTAACGTGAGCTTATTTGATTCGAAGTTTTCGAAGTCAAATTTTTGGAACACGCCCCACTATTATAGGTTATATTCATTGCACCCTTTCTCATAGGAGAAAAATTGAGTTTAGACTTAGATCCTCCATAATCAATAAATCTGCGGTTGCATGACGGGTGAAAGCTTGTTTTCTGATTTAGTGGAAATTTCCATATTTTTGAATTTTGCGAGTTAACTGCCGTCACTTTAGCTATTTTAGCTACTTGCGGATTACATTCTGGTGGAGGTTTTACAAAAACTAGGCCGCCATCACACTGGACTCGATTCAATAGACGTTTTGGCACGTTTCTCTGTAGGGAGCCTCTTTTCATGGTAACATTTGTTTGGTAATTTCTTGGTATCAAACCATTAGGGTTATTTGTCAGAGTGTTAGAAATATGTCCCAAGTTTTGTCTTTGCCATGGTTTGCACGTTCGACCAAAAGGCCTTGTATTAGCACATCCACATCTAACACTTGAAACGTTGTAAGAATTTATTGGTAACGGAGATGTGTTAGGATTGTGAGAACAATCTAAGATGTAGGGAGTGGTAAATGGTATAGATGGTATTGAACGTGCGCACCCATTGTAGTCTGCTGAATCAAAAGTTTCTACTGAAAATTTTTCCATAATTGTGGTTCCAAAATTTTCTGTAAATTTGAAAGCTGAATTAAAAAAATATTGAAAAACATTTAATGAAATTATTTTTTTAAACTACTAGATTGGAAATTATTTTCAATACTACCAAATTATTCTAAAATGATGATTAAAAAATAATTTTGGAATATTACCACATGGATTTTGATGATAGTATTTGTTAAAATAAAATTGTGTCAATATATATTATTGATTGAAATATTGATTCAGATAACTTACTGCAATGCTGCTTTAATCAGTATCAGCTGTTATCACATTAAATGTTATGCCATAGGGGTCTAACGTATTTGCCTTTATTATATTAGCTTTTTGATGATTAATTAAAAGTAATAGATCTTCTTCCAACTTTATTACTATATTTCACCTGCATGGTTTCTTATTTACGCTGATTATGTTATAGTGTCGCTTTGGCGAATACTACTTCTTCTCAAAAGGTTGGTATTGTGAGAATAACTTGTCGACAAGTTTTATTTAACCAGTCCATTGTAGTTAGCTGTTGTAGCTCATAATTTTTTTTTTATTTGTCAATTCTCTCTTTAATTTTTTCGAGAACTGTTTTGAAAAAGACTGTTGCAAACTTAATCGCAACTTATCCGTACCATCTGCTCCATACAACTATGTATGTATTTATATTCCTTACAACTGTTTTATAAGTATGCGTATGCGTATTAAGCATAGGGAACCAAGGACGGGAGGGACAACTGACTATTTCAGCTTACTAGCAAACAAAATTTTTTAAATAATTCCAGAATATTTATCTGATATTCAAGTTTTGGTCAATTGGTTAATTAATTTATCCAAATCTACTGTATACACACCACAGCCAAAGTAATTAAGAGGTTTGTTATAGTAATTATAATGATAATTTCATATAGTAAAAGTAGACACAAGCTCAGAAATACTAATGTCAGTAAATCGATATAGTAATTATAATGATAATTTCAGTTAGTGAAAGTAGACAAAAGCTTACAAATATTAATGTCAGTATATTAATAAAATTAAAGGATTCTGTCGTTCAAAAGAACGAAAGAGGACTTGCAGCACTCTAACCACGATATCAAGTCTGCAGATGATAGAGTGCAGTAGAATTCTTTTACCGATTATGCTGATTATAAAAAATAGAACAAAAAGGTTTTAAAAGAAATATATTAGTACAAACAGCAGAAAACTTTCTAAAACCACTTATAATGCAGAAAAAAAGGCATGTCTGGCAACTCAGACATTTTAAAAGGGAGGGGAAATGAGAAAACTTGACATGTATGTTTAATCAAGCTTTAATAAAAGAAACAATAATCATATTTCGATATAAGAAAAACTTTCTCTTGAATCACACCTAAAATTTGATTTTAAGCTTGGAATTGGAATTGATTGATTGAATTAATGTAATTGGCATTACTCAATAAAAACAATCTTAATACGAAAACCTGAATAACTTTCAAGCGGAATGTGTCACCTATGAAGCTGTACTTTGCTTCATACATTTAAAGTAATTGCTAAAAAATTCAAAGTTTGTGAAAAAGTATATATATGGAGACATTAAGTTGTTTAAAACCAATTGACAAAGGAACTGTAGAACTATCAGTATGCCAAACAGTCATTTTACCATTTTTCGGTAGTGAGGTTTAGCATCTTCTATATATTAAATTTGGGTAATTGATCAGTCCATTATTAAAAGTAAAGCCTAAACGTTAAAGAGTTAGTTTAGTTAAAATTCTAAGCTGGAATGATGAAGTGATCAAATCTTAGTACATATTATTAAGGAAAAATATTTACAATGACCCAGAATGTTTTGTATATGAGTGGCTGTAGCCATTCAAACTAGTTGAAACGCATGCAATAGTCATACATTTCTTCTTATTTTTGGAGTTATCTACATACATTTACATATGTAAATGGTATATAAAGAAAATGATATCCCAAAAGCACAAACGCAAGATGTCAACGTCGAGCAAAAAAAGTTATTTAAAGAATTTCTAATGAAATACTAGAGAAGAAATTGCCAAAACATTAGCAATAGTAGTAGAATAGACGATGAAGTTTTCTGTAGACTTTAGACTTTTAGTCACTATAAATTGTATTGGATATAAGCATTATATAAAAAATATCGTTATCTTTCATATTTCTTACTCTTTTTGAAGCTAACTTTGATCTTTGTAGAAAATACAAAACTTTTAAAGTAACCAGACCTTGAAGGCAAAGCCACAAAGTATGTCAAAACTATTACAAATATTCATAGAATTCTATACATCTTTGTATGATTTGTGAAAATGTTCACTGATACATAACAACACGCATTAAAACATAAATACTTACTCTCGGTTTAAGGAACAATCGATATAACGAGCGATCCTACACTTGTAAACAGTAAACATATCAATATTCCCTCAAAGAAGTGAAGAAGTTATATCCAGGGTCTAATGTAATGTAAAAAGAGTATATCTAAATAAAATTCATTCAGAAAAATACTATCTGATAATGAAAAACTTTGAATAACTTAAAAATAAATTAAAATGTCCGACATAACTTGGCCGCATGGAAGATCAAGAAACAATTAAAATAAATATTGGATGACAAGTCGTGCCACATCTTTCCATTTAGCTTATATTACTTGCGTTGACAATCGCAACGTGCTTTACTGGGGACTTACCTATGGTGCTTCACACATTATATTTTTAGCGTTGACGATATAATAATAGTTTCAAATTTTTTTATACTTTGCTACAATTTTTTTACTTCTAATACATTTTATTAAAAAACTTTTTTTTTATTTGATAGGTGACAGTAGATTTGATAGATACAGCATGCCATGAATTTATTATGTATTGGATGATATGTACGGAATACTGCACGTTTTAATGATTATTTTATTTAAAAGTCTTTCCTAACTTTAAAGGGGTGCGTTAGTATAATGGTTTGGTGGCTTTAATACCACTTTTGCTGGAGTTTAGGTCGAATACTATTCAAGTTATGATTTGAGTGCACGATGACGACATAGCAAAGAGCAAAGTCTGTAGTGATGAAGGTGGGGTTGAGGAATGAGGATGTCGCTAATGGTGGTCTGTTGTAATTAATAAATGATAAAACGATTGTAGGTTTTAAAAAATCTTTTGATTTTCTTCATAATAAGAAAAATATGCGAAAACATTGAAGGTGATGAGTAATGAAATATCATATAATGCTCATAATATGTGAATATGTGTAATAGGTGAATATATGTTACATATATGAGTAGATGATTTATAATATCACGCGTGAATATATATACTTAAATACGGTGCAGACTGTTTCATAGATTTATGCAGTTCAAAGTAACTGTTAGCGGTCTGCAAATCACTCAAAGATAAAGCTAATAAAGATTCAAAATGTGTAACTATAAAGCTAATACACGTAAGCTTTGAAACTGGTTCTAAGAATGTTGATATCGGTTATGTTAAATATAAAAACTTGACATTCTTTAATCTATGATAATAACTGACATAGCCAAAGCTTTTGACAAGGTCTGGCATGATGGTCTAATAGTCAAATTGGCCCGTTTTGGGATCCCTAGTGGTTTGACTAAAATCATTGGTAGCTTTCTGCAAGAAAGGTCCTTCTGTACTAAAATTAACAGCACTCTTTCGTCCGCCCGATCAATAGTAGCAGGTGTACTTCAAGGGTCGCCTTTGTCTCCCACATTGTTTAATGTATATACGGCAGACATCCCTACCTTAAGTCCCACGTCAATGGCGCTTTACGCAGACGACACGTGCTTGATCTACTCGGATCGGGATGCCATAAATGTAAGCAATACTTTACAGGGAAATATAGATCTATGGTGGAATACTTCCAAAAATGGGAGATTAAAATTAATAATGACGAAACCAAGGCTATATTTATAATTCGAAAAAGAAGACAGCATCCTCCAAGAGTGAGTGTTTGCGACACGGAGATACAGTGGGAGGATAACATAAAATATCTGGGGGTCACTTTTGACAAACGGTTTAATTGGCTTAAACATTTGAAATACAAACGGAATAGCTGGTCTAAGATTCTGCATTTATTAAAGCCGCTATTTAATAATTATCACTTCAACTTTAAAAACAGAAAGTTACTTTATACGCAAGTAATTAGACCTGCACTACTGTACGGATGTGTTACATATAGCAAAGCCGCCTGAAATACTACCTTAAAGCAATTACAGATAACTCAAAACCTGGCTTTAGGAAAACTGTTTAAGATTCCATGGTATATTAGATCAAAAGACATACATAGAGATCTTAGAATTGACTCAGTGAAAAAATATATCAGAGACAGAACTCTAAAATTATTCACTAAAGTTGATACGCTAATTAACCCCGCCCTAACAATCCTCAAGTCCACTTCTGGACTCTCAGGAAGATATGCTGATTTAAGGTCCGTCATCAACTAGAAGACAAATAAATGATATGATTTTTGTTTAGCCTAGTTAAAGCCTAGTGTGGGGTAGAGATAAGCCCCCCAGCCATTATAGAGTAAAAGTGCGTAATAGTACTAACTCAACAAAAAGAAGAAGAAGAAGAAGAAAGAATAACAAAATTATTACGTAATTTGCCTTTCATTTTTTACTTTGTTTAATATCCTAATCGCCTAGTATATCATGCAGGACAACATCTGTCGGGTCCGCTAGTATATATATCTATATACATAAAAGAAAGTCATGTTAGTTAGACCACTTATAACTCAAGAACGGCTGGACCGATTTTAATTATCTTTGATTTTTTGGAATCGTCTCCGCTCCGAACAGCAGAATATATTATAAAATATTTCTTATTTCATAATTCTTTCATAATCATAATCATAATTCTTATGATTGAGTATAGGAGAGCAAATATATATATATAAGTGACAAATCAAATATTTAGAATGCAAAATAATCGCAAAAGTTGTATTCTTCGCGGTAGTCAATTTTCAAAGTTGCAATATCGAAGGTAATGCAAGGAAAATTTAAGAGGTTGCAATAACCAAGGAGTTGCGATATTCGAGGGTTGAATTAATCGAGGTCATACTGTACTATGTTTACACTACTATTTAACATACAATGGAATTATATAAGCCATAATAACAATACATTAAAATATTATTAGTGTGCAGTACCTCGTGCGACTAAAAACTACAAACTACTAAAAACTACCAAAAATTTGCAACTTTACAATCTGGTGCTTTAGAATCTAAACTATGTTGATATAAACCCTAGTGTGATAAAGTTTCTTACTAATTAAAATCCATTTTCAAATAACTGTGCCCAATAAATCTTGCCACGAACTTAAATTAATAAGTAGAAATATGATTTGATCTATATAAATACAACGGTTACTTATTAGTCAATAGAACTTAACTTCTAAAGCTACAACTTATATACTTGCAGATAGAAGCTATGTAGAAACTATTATGTTTTGATAGTAATACAGCTTCCTTCTTTGTAAAAAGGTTGCCTGAATGAATAAGAAATGTCCAGTTACAATAACCATGCTGTGTTATAATTATATCCTTCTTGAAAATCAATCATTCCCATTACTATCGTGCAGCAGTGCTTATAGTATATTGTTTCCAAAAATATTTATGACATATCACACGAATTAAGTGTTTTAATTCGTACACTATATTGTGATGTTTAAATAGTAAGAACAAGCAAGTAAACATTTATTTAGTAATCTTTTTTAATTAAATTTTTAATACTTTTAAATACCATAAATAAATATTTTATCAAGTATGCATATTTTGTTAATCGAAAATGATGTAAAATTATTTGTTCTCAGTGACCACATCAAATTTTTTTGAATCTTTTTATAATACATTTAACTCAAATATAGATTAATATGCATTTTATTTGTATAAAAATTATCAAACTAAATAAACTCAACAAAAACAATTCTAAATACAATGCCCAGTATTTTGTTTGGATTGTTATCATACCCAAAGCCTAGGTTATCAGTTTGAGACTTTTCAGCGCTTTTACGAGAGCAAGTCTTGAAAGCTTCAGTACTCTTTAAACAATCGCGGCTGCTGTATGCTTTAATGTAATTGAACATAATTATTTATTTAATTAAAAGTAATAAATAAAAATATTATATAAAGTATGCCAAATATAAATAAAAGTAAAGTAATCGCTATAAGTGCGTTATTAATATCACTTGGTTTGATTATGGGTTCGATATATTTGCACATGCAAAAGAAACATCATCTCGGACGAATGAATACCGGATCGAGACAATTGAATAGTGCTGGTGTGGGTACGCATATATATATATAAATATATAAATTTTTATACCGGGTTTATCAAAGAAAAGTGATTTAATTTCGAGATATGCGGAGTTGAGGCTTATTTTGATTATTAAGTGACTTAAACTAATGAAAAGATTTCTATGAAATAAATAATATCTTGGCATGATTCTGATTGCCTGGACACACCCATTTGACAACGGGTCTTAGGAGAAACAGGTATTTTAATCAATTACGCCATAAGTTAGTATGAATTAGTTTTCGAGACA